GAAAAGTAAGGATGTAATTACTGTCTTCATTTTTGCATAGTGACTGCTATGTAAGGGGAGCCAGAGCCTAGCCTGGCAAGCAACAGGCTCAAGGCAGGATACACCCTGGATGGGACACCAGTCCATCACAGGGCAGACATGCCCACACACGCTCACATCTAGGGCCAATTTACAAAGGCAGCACCCCAGGTCTGAAACTGAACGCAGAGCTCCAGCTCTGCAAGGTAGCAATGCCTACTGCTGTGCCACCATGCCACTCCTGAACAGATATTACAAAGGTAAATTCATTATGCTGATCAATAACTGACACAGAGTTTCAAGAGAGATGAGACAGTAATGCCAACTGCCTTGCAATGGTGCCTCTCTTAAAAAGATTGAACAGATTACAAAGATGAATCTCAGGCTTAATACTATTCATTGTTAATTATGTAATTCTTTGAGATATACAGTATTTAGGAAAAGCTCTACATACTACAGTATGTAGTGTATTATTCTAACTGAAATGTCACAGTACGATGTGTATTACATATGTTCATTAATTTAGCCATTCAATTTGTGAACAATTGTTATCTGTTCAGAGTTGAATTACTGTATTAGTGACTTGGAGATTTGAAAAGAGGTCTTCAGCTCCTGTCTGTGGAAACTATAGTCCAACAGTTTTTAAAGACTTTTAAATAAGTGCCTTGAGCCTACATGTAGGTATAATGGATAAATTGATTCAATTCACTGAATAATTTAGGAAACTAAATAATAAATGGAAACTGTACACACAGTGGTGTGGATGTCTGGAACAGACTACCCACTCACGGTTGTTTTAAAGCAGAGGGCTCCTTCAAAAACAGCTGAGATCGCCAGATCAATACATCACTAGCAATCAATCAAATAAGATGGATCAAACAACCTTCTCTCATCAGTAACTTTTCTTGTGTTATGTAAAACCAGAATACTGGCCCCCCTGAGAACCACAGCACAGAATGCATTGATCGGGGTGAAGATAAATGAGCCATGGCGACCCCAGCTTTAATCAATTTGTATCACTTGTCACCTTTGATTGTCTGAGCATAAATGTAAACTTTATATTTATGTGAACACCAAGGATAGCAGTAGTTGTTAGAGGTTAGTGAAATTACGCTATGTGTGGTATTTACACAATGTGCACGTTTACGTTGATAGGAAGCTGATAAAACCGGAGCAATAAAAAAGGAAATATCATCATCAGTCTTGGGCAGCACAGTGGCCCAGTGGTTATCATTGCTGCCTCATAGTGCTAGAGCCCTTTGTTCAATTCCAGGCCTGGGGAGCAAGGCTTGAAGTTGCATGAATTTCCTCCGAGTCCCCCCCAAAACACACTGGTAATATAACTGAAAAACCTGGCCCTACAGTAGTTGTGAGCATGTTTGCCCTGTGATGGACAGGCATGCGGTCCATGATGTATCTTGCCTTGCGGCTGTTGCTTGCTGGGATAGGCGCCGACTCCCACAAGACCATGAATTGGAATAAGCAGTTAGAAAATGGATGTTTGGAAACTCAGTCTTTGGCTTATTACACCAAGGGCATAATAGTCCTCTGTCTGAGAAGGAAGAAATGCTCACTGTCACCATCCGCTCGGCTAACCCTTTTTCAATATCAATTTGCATGCATTCTACTGCTGTATATATTTGACTCTGATTATGTCTCATCCATTTATCAGGATCTTTATGGAGACTGAATCCTTTGTTATATCCCAGTACGTTTTGTTTAAGTCATTCAATTAATGTCCTTGGCTTGCAAACAAAGAAAATTTCACAGCATTTCAAGGCTTATTATACATCATTATTTAGGCTTTGGGAGAAAGCGGATGCGTGCAGGATTATTAAAAACTTCATAACCATAAGAGTGGACTGAAGAGGGTACCAAACATAATTTAGAGAAATAATACACAAGTAAATACATAACGAAGAAGTAAATCTACAGATGGACATAAAAACATATAACATGAAAAAATATAAATCATGAACATAATAAATCATGATAATACCTATAAAAATAAAAGAAGTGCTTAGGATTTGTGATTTGGGGCTATTTACGTTAACTTGGTAACTGCTTTGAATGCAGAACTAGAGATCCTGGAGAAAGGATGGAGGTGTTACTTTTTAAAAGTCAAGATAAACACTGGTGATTATGTTACTGTATATAGCACATACTGTGCTTAATGTTGAAGTGGATTTGTTGCGTATATAAGACTCACACCTCACCATTGACGTAAACAATAAGACCAGCCTTCATGTTTTGGCCTCTCAACCTATTTATTGAAAGCACCATACCCCGTGAAGACCTACAGTAAATCTTCGTTTGGTTAAATGACTTACAAGGAATACACATGCTAGCTGCATTATTCATCCACTGCTCGAAGGATGAAGAGCTCAATCCTGTGAGTATTAAGAATCACAGGTCAATGAACGTGCCAGGGCTACACAAACATTGCAAATACAATTAAGACACATCTTAGACACCTGTTACAGGCACAAAATACAAGGAGGTCATGATGTCAAAACTTGCAGAGATAAGAAGCTGAATCATTGAGCACTTGGACACACAGGCCTACACAATTCCTAAGGTTTTGCGATTTCTTTAAAAAAAAGGGAAGTCAAATATAATTCTGTATAACTCAGGTTCCTTGTTCGTTTTGAAATCCCATGCTGTCTGAACATTGTGTCCCATTCTGGAGCTCAAACCTGAATGAATCTGCTTGAAAATAAAAATTGTGCAACAACCCATCAGCAACCCATCCCTAAGGTGTTTTTTCCTTTAAGGCTTGATCAATTAAACATAAATGTTCCAGTAATCATTCAGAACACACATTGCTCTTCTCCGGGAAATTAATAATTGCACAGGAAAACGTATAAAAATATTTTAAAAATTGAATTACATTTACTTCCCCTGTTGTAAGCCTAGTTTTTAGAACTGGTAATTGTATTATTTCCACAATGGAGCGCTACAGTACATAACAAACAACCAAGTCAGAAATCGGATACACTGTGACCTTACAGGTGTCCGGCTAGCTACATGGGTCACTGTTGATCCTTTGTACTTCCTTAAAGCTAGAGACATAGAAAAGAAAATGACACTATAAGAAACAAAGAAAACCAACTATTTCCAAATCATAATTTGCCAAAAAATAATATACCTTTTGTATAATTTCTCGATTGTGATGTTTTGAAATGCCTTCAAATACCATATGAAAGGTACTAACTTACAATGCTCCCTCTACTGAATATAATATTTAATATGCTATCTGAAACTCTTTCTGCATGGTATACCACTTATGCAAAAAGGAAATTGTCCATTCTGTCGATTTTGAGAAACAACAGGTAGCCAGAATCTCAGGCTCTTCCCATCTTGCCATTTAACTGTCAAATGTAAAGCAACAGCCTTCAATGGATCACTAATCATACAGTATTCTTCTTATCCCTGCCTTATGGAGGAATACTCTTGAAGCACACCACTTTGTTTGCTGAACATTTCCTATGTTTTGCGCAATATTCTAGCCAAGCATGTCTTGCCCTTCATTTCTTTACAGATGACATTATGAGAAAAAAAGTAATTCTTGTGTAAACTGACTTTAAGAAAATCTTAGAATGATCAAAGTACAGTTTGTAAACCTAAATGGACCACATGAACATACATACAACGATACCAATGCATTTGTTATTGCGATGATGCTAAAAAAGTATTTATAACACCGGCGGGAGCAGGTCATAAAAACAAGCATAATTATTTTCTTTAGTGGCCTAAAATCTACAAAGAAAAGAAAATGATGGACTTCAAAGAATAATTAATCCAAGCCTCTTTAACATAAGGATTTCTGTAAAACACTATTGAGTGCGTTTGTGATTACAGTTATTTACTGGCCGATGGATTGCATACTGTGTTGCAAAGTTTTCTTTCTTTTGATCGTCATTAATAGAACAGACCACAATAAATGACAGTAATTCTCACTCTGAATTTCAGGTTACTGCTTTGACAATGGTCTTGAAGTCATAATCAACAGTACGGTACAGTGAGCAACCGTGTAAGATCTTTAAAGCAATTTGTCTGCAATCAGAGCATGGCAGTCAGGCAGCAAAATGATATATGACAGGGTATTTCCAGTTACAGTTTGCGGGATAAAAAAAAAATGTATTTACGTCCTTCTCCTGTACAACTGAGACTTATCTATTGACGAAGGTTACTACAATACCAGCCAGGCATCCTTTTCGTTCCTTAAAAAAACATTAAGGTAGCATCCAAAGAAATCAGGAAAGGTGTGTGAAATTAATTTATGAATGCCACCATCTCCATCCCCATAATACTACAGTCACCGTTATATTAGTGGAAGAGCAACGACCTTCGATCTAAGGGCTGGAGGGGGTGGGGTTAAATTTTTAATACCTCCTTTCCAGCACAAAAGGGCACTTATTGCCTCTGGACATAATAAAAAAGACAACTAAGAAGAACCTGAAGGCCGTTCTTATTTGTTTTTAGAATCCAAGTAAACAATCAAAAACTATACCTGCATTAAAAAAGAAGAAAAAGAAACTTTAAAAAACTAAAACGACACGATACACTAATATTAAAGGTGCAACTTTAAAAGGCGAAACTTACTTAACAGAGTACGATGGGTTAATGAAAAAGGGTTTAACTTTTAAGGATCTGCAACATATTATACTCCAGGATTTTATTCTTAAAGACACTGTAAGATCATATCTTTTCTGAGCTCCCTGAGATGCAGACATGTCATTTCAATAACTACCAGACTGAAATTCTTAAGGCGATCTTTTCCACTTCGCAGCGTAATGTGGTACAAAACAACACATTTGCAATATTGTTTTCCCTCGTATGCAAATCCGACCAATTTCTTGAATTGAACAGTTAACCTTTGGACACAGACGTGACAGTGAGATCTTTACTTCGGACAGCTCGTGATTTTTCTTCTGAGTTCAAACAAGAAATAAATCTTGAATCAAGTAATTCTCACTTACCATGACGTTTCCTTGCATTTTTGCCGTTTTAATTAGTTCCTTTTCCTTCATTTTCGCACAAAAAATTAAAAATAAAACACCAGATTCCGTTTGCTACTAATCCAGTTATTTTAACGACTTCCAGCCTCTTTAACTTGATTGAGCTTTCTGCCACAGACTCTTTTCAGTTTACAACCAGTCCTAAATCTGCCTCTATAGTTTTGCGAAGGGGCTTTCACTGCATTGATCATTGAAATCTTCTGGGCTTTGCAACATCCTGTTGATAATAGACGCTGAAGGTACCTTGTCCCTGTGCGTGGATACAAGAGCAATCAAACATGGACGAAACTTGATTTTTAGCAAGATTGACATTTTGATGTATGAGACGTGGAGGGAGACCACGTTGTGTTTATTCCACCCAAGGTCCTTTCATTCATTTTTGATTGAGGTACCGTGTTTACTGCTGCTCCCATACGCCGTGTTAGTGACGACGCCAGGCTTGTGAAATTGTGTTTAAAATGTAACGAAATGACTGCGATTAGGCAGTCAAAGTCAGGGCATGCAAAAGCTCCACAGAATATAAATAATGTGCTTTCGGGTTACTATGGAATACACGTTACGTTTCTATGGTTGCACTCATTTTGCCGAGGCTACAGCAAGCGGACGTGTCAGACACAGCAAACAACGTTGCTTGAAGTGGAAATCTGCTGCACCTTTTGTTGTTGGAACTCAAAATTTGCCACAGCCTTGAGCTTGAATTCGTTTTCGGTTTCTTTCTGCCGAAGCATAGTGGCTCTAGGGGGTGGGGGATAACGTGAGTATAAGGAAAGCAAGATAGAATACGCATTTTCTGTAACAGGCTGAAACGAGTTAACTATCTTGCACCGTCACTTGAAGGCTTTTGGTTATTTTATGCTTATATAGGCGGCTCAGTACTTGTCAAATACGGCAGAGCCGTATTTCCCGTACGTAAGATACACAGGGTGAAAATCGTAAACAACGCCGGAAAAAGCACTGCACATTTACTGCATACTTATATATATATATTTCTGTTTTGCTAGTTTAATTTCTGCTTTAGTTTCATAATGACGCAGCTGCTGTGGTCAGGCGGATTAGAACCGTCTTTCCCGAGCAGCAAGGCAGAAGAATGACTTTAATTCCAGTTCCACCCTGCGCGATTCATCTATCAGGACGTGAAGTGCACGATTACACTGTGGATCTGCTACTCTCCTGCTGCCACAATAAACGAGTTTATGATATATTACCCTAATAAGGTGCGTTTCCAAACCCGTGAGAGACAGGATGCTTAGTTACATAAATGGAAAACTGGGCTTTAATTGGAAACTGTAACCTTGGTTAAAGTGTCTGTAAGTAAAAACAAGAAGGCGAAACAGCATCTGCATTTCACGATAGGAGACACGGCATTCGTTTACAGTGATGCAATTTATTATTTTTACATTTGCAAGTTATTATGCGCTCATCTAGAAAAAACAAATAATATAACTAAATAGCCTACTTTATGGTAAATACTAAAGAAATCTAAAGCAACGAGTAATACGTTTCGTATAATGACACACAGGGCATGATTTATTATCATTATTTTATTATTATTTCTGCTGTCTGTGGGTTATTTTGTACAGAATGACTACAACGCCTCCTGTTGGTGGTATATACAGTAACTGATTCTTAGAATTTTTGTATATGTATACGCGTATTAAATATGTATCTAATTAACTTGTAATAAATGAAGATCTGCTCAAAACTGTCTTTATCTGTGTATTTTCTATTTTGAGTATATAGATACTATTGCCTCAAATACATCTCATCTCATAATGGTTCTCTGAAAATGGCAATGAAAATCATATTTTTTCTACTTTAAATTGTTCAACTTTATTTTTGTTTCATAAAATGTGATTTCCAAATACTGTAATGCATCGAGTATTAGTGACTCTTATAATGAACACCTGAATTCACACATTGATTTTACACATATTTTATTGTGATTACATGCTTAAGCCTAACTTATCCAGTTTTGAAATTGAATCCAACTTTTTCTCTGTTTATCCCATTCCTGCTTAGTTCCATCTTGTTTCTCTACTCTAAACCTGTTGGCAATTGATATGATCAACGAGTCATTCCTGGATTGCAGTTGTTAAACCAGTGCCTATAATTTGTTAATAGGTCGGGGAAAATATATGTAATTACAAGTCTATTTCAAATGTGCTTTTATTGCACAATATTTGCAGTGTGATGTGTCACAACAATTGAACTACTACTTTATTAGTAAGTTTATGAACCTTTTAGCTGAGATTTGGACTTGTACTCATGATCATGTGCTAGAAGCTCTTTACTAGCTTCCAGGTGGTTTGTTTTTGACACCCTGCTTATTGTTAATCCTAATGGACTCATTCAGATGCCCCTTTCCTTAATTAATACTTGATTTTTACTATGTTTTCCTACTGTTTTTGGTGTCGCTCATTTTACGTACTATGAATTTGTAATGTTTTTCATGAAATGTGCTTTATTACAAAGATGATAGTCCCAATAATATTGTAGCGAATTACAATATTATTGCACCGGAGACCCGGGTTTGATCCCGAGGCAGGGGACAAACTGGGGCAGGAGGGGCAAGAGCAGAAACCTCCATGAACCCGAATTCGCTACAATATAAACAAGTATCAATTTATGTATCGATAGCATTGCTCTAGGATGTTTCAAGATGTTTAAGCACAGATCAGTTACATTTGTTAACTATAATATGCTGTGTACAAGTACTGAGCCTGGACACAGACTGTTTATGACAAAAAAAGATACATTGTTTCCATAAATATTAAGTGCATTTAGAATAAACCACTACATCATAGAGTAATAATTTCATTATGTAAATAAAGTCCAGTTAATCAGAACTGAGCTGCATTACTACTGAACCTAGGGATAATTTCATATACCACTTGTTTTTTCTATAGCAATAATAATACTTTTGCTTCTTTAATGGCAGAAATGCAGTACTGAAATGATGTTCTTAAAAAAGCTTCAAATTTTTAATTAAGGAATTCACTACCTAGCAGATGAACAGATGGTGCTCTCCTAGACCTGTACCTGATAGTCATAGTGGAAAATTCACTTCCATAACAAGTTCACAGCAGTGCGGTATTTGGATGTGGACTCCAAGGATGGATAAGCTAAGAAACCACTCACTGGACCTCAATTATTATTTATTGCATGTATGCCCCAGTGCACAAACATAAGGCCTAAAAATAATAATGTACCATGAACAAAAACATAAGCTTATACTCTAGGTTTCTTTAAACTCAATGCCTGCTCTTACCACAGAAATATTCATATTTCTCCAAAGTGCTGATACTATTTAAGAACTGTTAATTGGAGTTCACTATAAAAAGGCTCTCTTGGGCATAAATCCAGGCCTTCAGACTGATGTTTCCCAGTGTTAATCCATCTAACACCATTGTCCAGCCCCATCCCCCAATAGCAATGTTTTGGTTCATTTTAGAAGATACTGTACCAGCCTCCTTGTCCATACTGTATGGCCAGGGACAAAGACACTTCTTTGTGGGTTAACATCAAACATATCAATAAGTTCTCTACCTTAGTCACAATGTCAGTATAAGGGTTTTCTGTATATTTTAAAATCTCATTTAGTTTATAAAAACATGCAATGAAAAAGACTGAAATTCTGCAGCTTGCATGATGTTTGCTTGGTTTAAAGTAATTTAAGATAACAAGCTTTGTAAATGATTTCCCTCAGATTCCCCCAGGAAATTATTTACTCTGTCTCTTCCGGTCAATGCAGCCATACTGTGTAATAAATTTAATAATATGACCCATAACTGAAATCAATATGCTCATGATTAAATACATTTTGAATATGATGAGCATGCCTTTTTTTCATTGGAGCATGTATTTATAATGAAAGTACTTACTGTATCTGTCGGTAGCAGAACGGAATCTTCTCATGTGTAGCCTTTCTATATTCCAATAATGTAATCTAATGTAATCTAATAATTAACAAGATGGAATGACAATCAATTCACAGTACAGATACCTTCTGGAAGATACACTTTTAATTTGTCAAAAAAAAGAATTTATTATTTATTATAATCAAGAAAACTGCACAGCGAAACATTTGATACAGTAAAAACTACTCTCTACATAACAATGACAAAATTACAGAAGAATAAATGTACTTTTGATGGCCATTATGAATGCATTAAAATGTTTTAAAATAAATAATAATTGGAAAGAATACACAGAATCTGAAGAAATGTTAGGTATTAAAAAGTGCAATGGCCAGTGCAACTAAAAACCTAGCAACCTGCTATTTCTAAATTCTTTATGCTCATTAGTAAGAAGTGTTGTAACTCTAAATCCAACACTCAAAAATAGTGTCTCTAGGGGGAGGAAAATATGTCCTAATGCAGTGCCACACAGTTAAGCTCTATGGCAATGGACAGACATGGTTAGTGAACGTAGATCAGAAAGACCACTTGTGTAAAAAACACCTACTGTACAAACCATGCAATATGTGAACATGCGAGGAAACCACACAGTGCCTCTATTTTTGGAAAGTGTGTCACTCACAGTCTTTTGCAGCTACTGTATGTCATTGTAAATGCATGGCAAATTCAGGGCAAGACAAAGGCTGTATTCCTCAGTAATAAAGGGGATGCTCTAACAGAATATTTAAACACTAAAAACCAATATGAGGGTGATGTCAATTTTCCATTCAAGTATTACACTATGTACTTCATGCATTCTATAAAAGGAACAGTATGTGTAGATTTTTGTGGTTCACTCAACCTTAAACATTCTCTGTGCACCCCTACAGGGCATTGTTAGAAGTGTTAAATTAAAAAAAAAAACAACACACACTGCTGTTTCCTTGTACAAGCCATTCATTATGTTCATTAGTGAGACAGGTCTGCAGACTTTAAAAAGAAATAAAGGATTTACACGGTACAATGTTTGGCATCCCAATGCCTTATTTTCGCTTATTTTGTTACATTCATTTCCTGCACATTGATGTTCAGATGGAGTCTTTTATCAAAGCGGAGCTCATAATAAAAACTCTTTACAGTTCCGGCCATGTGGCTGGAACAAGCTTATTCGATAATAGATTAAGTAAAATAAATGATGTGTTTTAAACTTTACTTATCAGTCAAAAATACATTTTCTAAGTTTGTTGAAATGCAATCCTAGACGGTTGTGAACCCATTTAAGATACAAGGTGCACCTGTACTGTATATGCAGTTGTAGACAATGGTTTTTACAAACTTTGCAAAGAATGAGATAAATTCAGAATTGTGGGAAATAACATTCTGCTGAAATAATTAAACAAAATGCAAGGAAAACATTTTTGAATTTCCCAGCTCATGAGATGAACTTACACTATAATATCTTAATTCTTTCTCAAGAATTCTCTGCTCAATTTTGATTTCGTCTTGCATAAGTGTTACACATCGTCTTCAGCATTTGTTTTCAATTAGCTTTGAAAATGCACTTAAACGAAAGGAAATCCTAACACTGAGGTTTAATGGACATTAAACTATCACCACAAAATGTAAAAAAAAAAATCTAGATCAGAAACAAGTCTTCAATCCAAAATGTGGCACACAATAAACAAAGTTATTTAATGGGTCTGAGCTCCCTAAGCAAGAACACAATCCTGTCAGCACTGACACATTGATCTGAGCCTCAGGGTATATGGCATCGAGGTGTTTCACAGCTCTGCCTGTGCAGCTGCAGCTGTTTTGTGAATTTGTGGTTGACTCCTGTTGATAGCGTTGTTCCCGCTGATGTTTTGTTCAGCTCAGGTCACTACAAAACTTTCCTTGATGTTGTGCCACTGTAATCTTTGCGCTGTGTGGACTTGCATTGTCCTGATTAAGAATCAGCACTTCTGCATCTGTCTGAAATAATAAGGAAAAACTCAAGGACTTTGTTAATGTATCGCTGGGCTGTAAAGTTACCCAAACTTTGTGTCGGATTTATCCTTGGGCCAAGGGTGAGCCCCCTGTGACATCCTCACACGTCTACTAGTCTACCTGTTGCCTTATCCAACCAATAGTCAGCCTGATGCTCACCAGAGTGACTCTTCTATTGTCTTACCGGGTTTATCAAGGCCAAAAGGTATTCAACAGCGAATAAAACTCTTCACCACTCTTTGCTGCCACTTTAGATGGTCCTTGACGAACCGAGGAAACCCTGCGATTCAGTCTCTTAGCTGTTCGTATCACCCCTGAATGAACATGAGAGCATGCAACTGTATAAGGTGACATTTTATATTTAGGCAAAATGTATTAACCTATTATGAGGACTTTTTTTTTTTACAATACCCAATTAAAATATTCACTCACCAGGCAGTTTTCAATCATACCTAAAATAACCTGGTAGTTTTCTGAATAGGTTTGTAGTGGGCAGTACATTGTACAAGTTATTTTGTCAGTAAATCCATAGCTTGAGTGATTAGCGAGTGAGTGATTTGCTGAGCTTTAGCTGGGCAGTGTGGTACAATGATTATTACTATGTATGTCTTAACCCACACTCTTGCAGAAATACAAGGCAATAAAATACAATGCATCCTATCTGCAAATGAACTTACTGTTTTTGATTGGGAATGCTATGCTGAAAAGAGTATTCAGGAATCAACTTCACAAAGCAGCAAAAACATTACAT